GGGATGAGGTTAGTAGGTAGGAGATGGGGGTGGGGCTTGAGGTGGGAGGAGGGGATAGGTGGGAGGAAGGACAGGTTAGGGAGGCGGGGACAAGCTGGGCTGGTTTTGGGATGCAGTAGCGGGAGGGGAGATTTTGAAGCTTGTGAAGTCCACATTGATACCATTGGGCTGCAGGGTTCCCAAGCGGAATATGAGTTGCTGTTCCTGCAACCTTCGGGTGGCATCGTTGTGGCACTGCAGGAGGCCCAGGATGGACATGTCGTCTGAGGAGTGGGAGGGGGAGTTGAAATGGTTTGCGACTGGGAGGTGCAGTTGTTTAGTGCGAACTGAGTGTACGTGTTCTGCAAAGCGGTCCCCAAGCCTCCGCTTGGTTTCCCCGATGTAGAGGAGGCCACAACAGGATGCAGTATACCACATTAGCAGATGTGCACGTGAACATCTGCTGATGTGGAAAGTCTTCTTGGGACCTGGGATGGGGGTGAGGGAGGAGGTGTAGGGGCAGGTGTAGCACTTCCTGCGGTTGCAGGGAAAAGTGCTGGGTGTGGTGGGGCTGGAGGGGAGTGTGGAGCGGACAAGGGAGTCACGGAGAGAGTGGTCCCTCCGGAAAGCAGATAAGGGTGGGGAGGGAAAAATGTCTTTGGTGGTGGGGTCAGATTGCAGATGGCGGAAGTGTCGGAGGATGATGCATTGGATCCGGAGGTTGGTGGGGTGGTACGTGAGGATGAGGGGGATTCTGTTTTGCTTGTTATTGCGAGAAGGGGGTGTGAGGGATGAGTTGCGGGAAATGCGGGAGACACGGTCTAGGGCATTCTCGACCACTGAGGGGGGGAAGTTGCAGTCCTTGAAAAACGAGGACATCCGAGATGTATGGGAGTGGAATGCCTCATTCTGGGAGAGATGCGGTGGAGACGAAGGAATTGGGAATAGGGGATGGCATTTTTGCAGGAGGGTGGGTGGGAGGAGGTGTATTCTAGGTAGCTGTGGGAGTCGGTGGGCTTGAAATGGATATCGGTTTCTCGGTGGTTGCCAGAGATGGAGACAGAGAGGTCCAGGAAGGAGAGAGAGGTTGCTTTTGGTCAGTTTTTGCCTCTTTTAAAATCATTACTGGTAATCTTTGCATCATTGAGGTGCCAGTGTTCAATTTGCGGGATCCTAGCAACGGGCAGCACAGTGGCTCAGTGGTTAGCACTGCTGCCTCACAGCGCCAGGGACCTGTGTTCACTTCCAGTCTCAGGTGACTATCTGTGTGGAGTTTGCACATTCGCCCCTTGTATGCATAGATTTCCTCCGGTGCTCCAGTTTCCTCCCACAGTCCAAAGATGTGCAGGCCAGGTTGATTGGCCATGTTAAATTGTTCCGTAGTGTCTGGGGATGGGTACGTTGGATGGATTAGCTATGGGGGTTGCAGGGATTCAGTAGGGGGAGTGAGTCTGGGTAGGATGCTCCTCGGAGAGTTGGTGTGGACTTGTTGGGCTGAATGACCTGTTCCCACACTCCAGGGATTTTATCTAATTACAAATGACATGATGCAAGTTGACCAGTATTTGTACCTTGAGTGTGATCACTCTGCATATGATGCAAATGAAATATAACTGCAGTTTTGCAAGTGCACATTTCAATATCCTAGTGTACAGTAGACATAGATCCCATGCATTCACCCGTTTTTGTTCCAGCCATTTCCGGTTAGAGTTGTGTCTAACTCAGAAAATAAGGGCATAGAATGTAGCTCACGGTAAACGTCATCAAGACCAGGTTCCACCACCTCACCAGGAGCCTTTCCAGAGCCTTTGTGTTCTCTTTTACCTCGTACTACCCCAACAGTCCATTTCCACCCAAACCTCACGATTCAAATGTTGCCTCCAACTTTCCTCCTTGTTTCCTGAGCTCCTGAGCTTCCTGATATTGACTGAGATCCTGCACACTTCCCTCGTGGAGGACACAGTAGTGGTTACTGCCAATAATCCCCCCAGCTTCCTGTAGCCTTGCATGCCCGCAGATGTACATTGACCCATAGAGTCCCGATGAAGGACCCAGGCCCGAAACATCGACTTTCCTGCTCCTCTGATGCTGCCTGACCTGCAGTGCTCCTCCAGTTCCACATTTTATCGACATTTCCTCCTCAACTACTTTTCTATGTTGTCTATTCCTACTCTCAGATAACGGTTTTCTCTTCCCACATCTTGCTGATGTTTTTAGCCCTTTTGGGGTGGTGGGGGTGGGGGCCTGATGTAAAATTTAATGCACCCACTGATACTTTGCCTTAGGGCGAGAAGTGACATCAACCGAGATCAATGCTCCCTGACTTATAATTGAGTATTTTGTGCTTTAACTGAAGACTTTCCTTCAGGTGTGTAGTAGGTGTTTATATATCATTTGCTACTTAATGTGAAAGCAATGACCTCTGATCTTTGTCAATACTGAATAACTTCATTTATATTAAATAGCTATTTAATAAGTAAAATGTGTGCAAACGATAAATCACACCAGATTCAGTGAAATAAATTAAGTTTTTTAAAATTACATTGTTGAGTATGTGAGATGACATAAACTGCAAACACTTGTGTGTGTGATTTCTTCGTCTAACTAAGATAAAAGGCATGCTCAAGCTAGACCAGCTGTTTAACTGCACTGTTGTTAGTTCCAAATATACACACTTTGCCTGTTGAGCAACAAGGATTGGAATACCATGATTATTTAAACAATGCACTGTAAATATTGTGCAATGAAACATTCGGCAGCATTGTTTGCATAGGATTATAATTGTGAGAAGAATAAACTATTTTGCTTTGTACAATAACGGTTTAAAGTTGTATCATTATGAACGTTTGATTTCCTAGCTATTCATTGGTGAGCTGCCCCAAAAAGATTGAGCGACTATATTTAGCAGTTAGCTTAGTCCATTTTATCACTGGCTTGACCATGTCCAATTAAGCCATGGGTTAAGCAGTGGGTTCCAAATACATTAAACAGCAAATGACAACACCAGCTTCAAGTCTCCAATATCAAAGTACAAATAATGCTTAATGAAGGAAAATGGTACTCTTACAGATCTGTTTGAAAACTTATTAAGATCTGACAGGACACTCCTTTTCACACTATTTGTTTTCTTTTCTCTCTCTCATTTTAGTGGCTTTTCATGGCCTCCCTCTAAAAATCAAGAAGGAACCACAGAGTCCCTGTTCTGAGCTGAGTACTGCCTGCAGCCATGAGCAACCTTTCAAGTTTAGTTATGGGGAAAAGTGCCTGTATAATGTCAGGTAAGATATTTCAGTTGCAAACACATAAATCTTGCATATTTATTGGTGTTTCTGGCTGTTATGTATGATTTTATTCTCCTGAATGGTAAAATAGTTCCCTGAATATTATGCTTTTCTACTTTTAGTCATAGAAATGGCTGCTTGTTATTATACACATTATTTTTTAATACGTGCCCCTATTTTCTCATTCTTATCCCAGTACGCTCATTACCTATCTGCCATAATGTGGCTTGATAGGAGAGTGTTGTGTCCTACTATAGTGAAAAATAGCTCAGCCAGGTTTATGTGCCACTTTTATCCACAAGCTGAATAGATACTTTCCTGGCCTGCCCAGCTTGGCCCAATGTAGCAAGTTATATAGATTTAAAGTATGTGCTATATGAATTGTATTTTACTTGTCACATCCATTAATTTAGCAGAGTTTTAATGATGGTCCTGGAATTAAGGTCTTTTCTTAGTTTGCCATCTATTATTCAGGCCATTTTAATCTCTTACAAGGGGATATTGCATACAAACTGCAAGACAATGTGCACCATTGTATTTGTATGAGTTAAATATTCTCAGTTTACCATCAAAACAAAACTACACATGAGAGCAGTGGAATTCAAGTAAGTTCTCCCGAAAAGAACATGTGCACCATTCGCTACAGCATATGTAAGAAGTTTTTAAAAAAGACTGTAGCAGAGATTTCACATTGTAGCAGGTGTTTTGGTGACAAAAGTTTCCAGAGATGCCCAAAATGGGATCCACTGTGCGTGCACACACTTACGGAGTCATGGAGTCCATACAGCATGGAAACAGACCCTTCGGTCCAACCAGTCCATGCCGTCCACAATCCCAAACTAAACTGGTCTCACCCGCCTGCTCCTGGCCCATATCCCTCCACACCTTTCCTATTTGTGTACTCAGCAAAGTGTCCTTTAAACATTGTAACTGTCCCTGTATCCACCTCTTCCTCAGGAAGTTCATTCCACACGCGAACCATCCTCTGTATAAAAATTTGCCCCTCATGTATTTTTTAAATCTCTCTCATCTCACCTTAAAAGTGTACCCCCTCGTCTTGAAATCCCCAACCTAGGGAAAAGTCACCTACCATTAACCCTATCTATACCCCTCATGATTTTATAAATTTCTATAACGTCACCTCTCAACTTTCTACACTTCTGTGAACAAAGTCCCAACTTATCCAGCCTTTCTTTATAACTCAAACATTTCATACTCAGCAGCATCCTGGTAAATCTCATTTCTCTAGCTTAATAATATTGTTCCTATAACAGTGCAACCAGAACTACTTCTGGTATAAATTGTGTCTAAAAATATATTGGTAGGAAGCAGTAGTGCACACGTTATGGGCAGTGGGTAGATCATGATATCAGCTGATTTCTTGTGAACATTGTTGGAGCAGAGCAGTCTGTTAACACTGCCTTTAATCAACATGGCTTGCACATGCATTCAACGATGGAGTTTAAATGGATTATCAGCTGTATACAAGTTAATTGCTGATTATTATACAAGTATTTTCTAGAGCTTTGTAAAGTTGTTAAAACCTACCTGAAATGGTTTGGCAGGCACTGCACAACTTTGTCCTGATTCCAAGGATTCTGCACAAACCAATTACCTATAGAACGGGGTATTCCACTTGGAATGCAGCATGACTGGGAGAATGACAAGAAGTCACACAGAGAGGGGCAAGCTGCAGGAAGAGTGAGGAAGGGTTTGGAAGAAGGTCTCTCAGCAGGAGGCCATATCCACCATGATGTTGAGGGAGTGTTTCTCCCATCTGAACCTCAGTGAGGAACAATGTGTGTGCACTGAAGTAAATGGGTCCACACAGAAAACTGCTGCCAGCTGCAGTCATAAATAAAACGTTATTGTAGGTAAAGATCACATTACTACTAATTGTGAAGGTGACAGTGACCATGAACTTTTCTGCAGAAGGCACCTTCTAGGCTGAAGCTGGAAACATTTGCAATAGCCCACTAATGCAGAAAAGAGCTTACTAAGGCTCTGTATTCGGAGTGCTGATAATAGTTCATTGTCACTTGACAGAGACAAGTACAGACAGCACATTGTGGCTTCACTAGAATTGTAGATAATCCACGTGATGCAGACTACCATTGACTGCATTTCCATCATTGTACTGATGCTGCATGTCAATTCTGAAAGGTGAAACAACTGCATAGGATTCCACTCCCTCAATGTCCATCTGGTGCGAGACCATTAATAGTGAACCATGCCCAGGATCCTTTCATTCTCTGTGGGTCAGCTGTGCCATCTGTCTTTGAGGCACTGTAGCAAACCAAAAGGTGGCAACTGGCTGGCAAGGACCTGCAACTGAGCGAACAGCTCATGATTCCGATACATGACCACACGTGGGCAGCATGCAAGCAATGAAAATGGTGTTGCCAACATCAAATATGATAACTCAGATCATTGAGTTGTTTAAATAAAGTATTTGCTGCCTGAACTAGTCTGCAGGAGCAGTGCAGTGTTCAGTGGAACAGATTTCAAGTCTGTGGTTATCCATTGCATGTTATTACGACATCATTATGAGGACACAACTCTTGATGACAGGCAAGAACAGCTGAGGAGCAGCAGAAGAATAAGGAGGAGAAAGAGGAGGCAACCTCATAAAACCTTTCCTGGTGGGTGCTATTTGTGAGCAGGTTATCTTACGAGGATGCCAGTGAACACTGGGGTGACATGGTGGCTCAATGGTTAGCACTGCTGCCTCACAGCACCAGAGACCAGGGTTTCAGGTCCCCCCTTGGTTGACTGTCTGTGTGGAATTTGTACATTCTTCCTCTGTCTGTGTGGATTTCTGCCTGGTGCTCCTTTCTTTGCGCAGTCCAAAGATGTGCAAGTGAGATTGATCGGCCATGCTAAATTGCCCATCGGGTCAAGGGATATGCAGGCTAGGTGGATTAGCCGTGGGAAATGCAGGGTTACACGGATAGGATAGGGAAGTGGGATGCTCTTCAGAGGACCGGTATGGATCTGACGAGCCAAATGGTGCGCTTCCACACTGTAGGGATTCTATTCTATGAATTATGATACAATCCCATTTCCTAATTTAGCAATCCCTTCATTTGGACACAACACAAAAATAAAAGCAAACACAAAGTAAACATTTCCAGCCAAATTTATCAATGACAGCATTCCATATTCCATGCAAAGCCAACTAACCACTTTTTAAAATTTCCTTAATGCCATCTTTCTGGTGCCATTGCCTGTTCCAGTGCTCCTGTGCGGTGTTAACCCAGTGGCTGTAGCCTGACTCGTGCAATGCTGTTTATTTTTTATTGAGGGAGACTGCAGACGGTTAGGCCGCAAACCTTTAAGCAGCTGTCAGCCTCGAAGGCCCTGTATCAGAATGCAGAAATTTGTCATGGCAACAGCGGTCTGACTGGTTGACAAGCAATACTGAGAGCACTCGCAGACTGATAACCGTAGGAGAACAAAAATGATCATCCTAAACAGAATATAGCAAGTTCATGCACTATGAAATCATTGCCATTCTCCTGGGATGGTGCCTCAGTAATCTGTTGGAGGACAGATTGCTGCACGACATGACTTCAGACTGAGCATGCACTAAATTACTCCAATATTGATTGCTCTCTGCTTATGTTTCTAAGAAAGCAGAGACATTGGCCAACAGATGCTACACCATGGTTAGGTCCATGGATTCAGCCACCTCTTCCATGTTGGAAAGGGAGGGCTGCATGCTCTGGGTAAAACACTGCACCAAGTTGGTGCTGTGTTCCTTTATGTTCCTTGATAGCGAGAGCAGGCTTTTTATCAGGCCAGCCAATGCACCAAGCATTTCATTCTGCATACGGACCAGCTTTCTTCTGTAGTCCACTGCATCCACGTACTTTATAAGAGTTCTAGGCAGCAGATCTTGTGTGTAACTTCACTCTGTATTGAGCTGATACCTTTGCCATTTTCCCCTATTGGGCTTCATGTGACCTGTGATCGATGTTCGACCAGGTTATTGCATTGCTTTTCTTGTGATCCTCTAAATTACACAATAAATTACACATTGCATTGAGTGACAGAGCTGAGTATACTCTTGGCTACCATGGGGCAGTTCTTGGATATCTGAAAGAAGAAAAACACAATGATAAAGTTGTCATTTTACAATATCTCAAGCCTGTGAATCAGAGGGGATTGTGAAATGAGAATGAAATGGGTGTGAGAAGGGGAATGAGGAGATATGGATATTGTCCTTGTAAGTGAGTTGTGTCACCTCTGGTCATGGCCTCAGACATTGTGCTCCAGTCATTGCAAGCACTGTGTATTCATGTGGATAAGGACATGCGGCTGTGTTTGTCCCATTCCAGTTCACTCCTGCTACCTCCAGTTATGCGCTACTTTATCCTGAGAGAGAATGGCAGATGTGTCAGTGAGTGTTGTGCAGTTGTTTGTGAGGTGTGGCAGTTATGGTTGAATAACTGACAATCCATGCAATGCATTAGGTATGAATGAGAGTCTTGCAGCTGTATGAAGTGTGTGAACGTGTGGTGCCTCTGGGATTGTTAAACGAGAATCCTGATTGTTGTTATGTTTGTGACGGACAGGGTTCTGATACTTTGAACAGTTGTCGAAACTAGTGTGAAATGTTGGTGTGAAATGGCATTTGAAGAAGCATTCAATTTCATCGAATACTTATGTGGTCATTGAACTTAATGTAGCACCATATCCAGCTTCTCAGAGTTTGACCCCTGGCATTGAACTACCATCAAACCCCCTACTCCAGTCCCCGTGGCTATCTGTTCACGCTGCCTTTTGACTGTTATGTCAGGATGGCCTACTTTCCACCTTGGCAGACACAAGCTATCTGCCATCTCTTCCATTACCTCCACTGAGTACCCTACTACAGTTCTGCAAACTTCAGAGCATGCTCCCTGCCATGTTATACCATCATTCTGTTTTTTTTCCATGTCAGAGTGACTTGCGTGAGAATTTTCACCTCCTGCACATCCTTGGCAGATTCCTTGGAAGAGAATCAGAGTTTTGGGGCTTTAAGGTTTCCTCTCACAGCCGCATGATGTGCAGGTTAGGTGGATTGGCCAAACTAATGAAAAATTTCCCCGTAGTATCCAGGGATGTGCAATTTAGCCATGGTTAAAACCCCATGCGGGATTATGGGGAGGGGTGATGGCCTGTTTCTGTACTGTAAGTGTTCTATGATTCTAGATGATCAGAAGCCTCGTGGTGGATCAGAAACTGGGGAGGGTGAGGGATTGGGGGTGAGGTTGGTAGAGAGGTGCTCAGCTTTGAAGGTTCTTCAGGCTGGAATCTGGATTCAGGAGGCAGGTTTAAAGCCACTGAGCCAAGTCTAAATCTTAGATAATGCAAGCTTTTGCAGTAATTTTGGTTCAGAAAGGCTTTCCGCCATTTTATGATATTATCAAAGAGTGAATGGTGCCGTCTTCTATTAAAGATCTGAGAGGAGAGGTAATGAAGCAGTCAATCTTTCATATTAGCAAACTTCCAACTCCGAATCGATGCTGCTGCCATTGTAAAAGAGGCTGCATGTCTGTATCTGATATCAGCAAGCATTCGAACTTTCCTTGGATTTCCCAGACTGTCAGTCTTCAGAACTCCCTGACTGATTTTGTTTGCACATTAATGTGTTTCAACGCATCAACGTACTTTTGCCATCCTACCAAGTAGTGCTGTAAAGGAAGCCTATTGGTGTGGGCAAAAATTTCAGTATCAGATTTCCAGGCAGGCCTGCTGACATGCATGTATTCCTTTTGAATGCTTAAAACAAATTGGCAAATGGGAGGTTTCATATAAGGAGTTATCCTGTAAAGGGACTGGCTTCCCCTTGCATTTAAGTGTGTGAGGAAAGTGATGTATGTAAGCCCTTCTCCCGATATCCCATTCAGAGCCCAAACCAGGTTAAGACGATCATTTGATATTACAGGTTGCTTTCTTCAGACATTTGCCATAGAGGAAAGCACATTTTATTTTCTAATCTTTCGATTTGTTTGTGGGCTTGTTTATGTTTCTGTAGTGCCTACGATCAGAAGCCACCCGCAGGATTGAAACCCTCTAACCCGCCAACCCCATCCAGCACACCAGTCTCCCCTTTGCACCATGGCTCACCTAATCCTGCAGCAACTCCCAAACCGGACCGGAGTTTTCCAGCTCATCTGCCTACCACCCAGCCCATTCCAGAGAATGCCTATCCAATGGATCCTAGGTCAGCAAGTACACTTAGTTATTTCCTTTATTGATTTAGATATGATAAGTGTTTGCTGAGTCCATCCATCAGTATCTTCCAAATCCAGCTGGAGATATGTGAGTCCTGAGTATACAGTCAGTGGGCATTCTATGTTAATTCTTTTCTTGTGGGAGCATCGTCACACATATTGGTGTGGGATGACTGCTGCCTGCATTTGAAGCTGTTGACAACCCAAAAGTAAATGGACCTAAAACTGCACTGGGTTTATATACCGGCAGTGAAATAGCTTTCAGGGTAGTAGTACAAATGGGTAACGGTGAATTCGTGGCCTGCTTAACACCCTGAGGGTTTTTTTTTCACTAAATTCAATGGAAAGGAGGAGCAAATGGGAAGTAAAGCTGACTAAGGGTTCACTTCTGCCTGTTCAAAGTCATGGCCCAAGGCTAGTTCCACCCTCAGGTTTTTCAGGTCCTTGGTAAGTTCACTGCCGAGTATTCATCATTAAAATATATGGCATCTTCGTGCATTCTTATTATTAGATTTTACTAGTTCTCTCAAATACAAGTGAATGATGGTTATGTGGGAATGATTGTAAAGTGGGAGTTTGAGGAATTCAGATGAAGCCAAAAAACTGCAAGGCAAATCTGGAGCTGTTTATACTTCGTATCAAGAATATATTCCAACCTTGAGTGAATCCATAGAACTGTCACTTTTTTACATATTTAATGAGAGTATCCTTTTTGGACTCCCAATAATTGTTTCTGGTGTGAGAGGTTCTGTGCTGAGAGTGCGATTCATGAAGTCACCTCTGTGACAGCTTCAATCTGCTTTGTGTCCTTGCTCATCCTGGCAGAAGCTCTCAATATCAACACTGTCAAAGTATACTGTTGTGTCATTGATGTGTGATGACATTAATGCTGAACAATGAATGCCAGTAATGTAATTACCATGAGTTTATTATACCGTAACTTACTGTTTATTATTCAAGAATGAAACAAAATTTGGAGTGAGAAAAGGTTATTTGCCTATTAAATCTAATGTAATTATTCACTGATGAGTAGCTCCCCCTCAGCCCACTGGTGTGCTCTTATTTTAAGGAACACTTTGTTTTCTCTGACGTTGTTGTAAAATGAAGCAATGTTACCACAATCCCTGTAGCCTTCAATTCTCTTTCTCCATATATAAATAGCTTTTTCAGCATCTACAGTTCCTTCAGAATTCAATAAAATGGTTATAGGTCACTTGAGCTTCCAGTATGCCTCCTTTTGATGGGGATCTATCCAGCAGCAAATCTGTTGCTCACAAGTTTGTTGCAACATACATTTGGATATTATCACACTGTATTCCCTAAGAAAGTAATTTGTCCTGCACAAAGTTACAGAATGAATGTTATATCATATGGAACCCTAGTGCCCTCCTTCTAGTCTTGTAGATATACACTTAAAGATGTACGTGTATAAAACACCATAGGTTTGTCATTGTTGTCAAGAATGTGCACCTCCTCTCCTGTTATAAAACTCAAGTTAATTCCTTAGCTCTGTTGTGGTGTCTCAAACTAAGCCCCTGATTTTTACTTTTAACTTAAATCCTTTGTCCTCGAATGTAATTGGTCTTTACTGTGGTGTTCAGTTTTTGCAACCTATATCAATGCTGGATTATTAAGGACAATGATGAAGCATACTTGAATTTTTCACTCAACTTTCCTACTCTGTATCACTTTCAGATTCCGGCGTCAGCTTTCAGAGCCGTGCCATTCGTTCCCACCTCCTCATGGGCTGCCCAGGGAAGGTCGTCCGATGTACCAGAGGCAATTGTCTGAGCCCAACATCCCTTTTCCCCCTCAGGGCTTCAAACAGGAATATCATGATCCAGTCTATGAACATGCCACCATGATTAGTGGGCCAACAAACCAGAGTTTTCCGCAGCCGATGATGATTAAGCAAGAACCACGAGATTACGCATATGATTCAGGTTAGTGATCTTGGGAATACAAATGTACAAAATAAGATCCAAGTTAGTCGCATCAATGAAACAAATAATCTTCAGCTGCAGCTTATTGAATAACTGGCTTCTACTGTTACACTGAAGGGATGGCGACTGGTCATTCTCAGCCCCTGTGGAGCCTCAGCCTGAATGCATTATCTGATGTACTTGCATTAGAAAAGTGCTTTGGGTTCACATTTCCAGTCCTCCCTGTGTGGAAGTGGCCGGAGACATTGTGGTTATTAAAGATAAACCCATTCATCATTATGAGTGGTTGCATTACCACAGTTGTGTGATGGCCTTGCCCTTCTCTATTTTTTCCCAATCCTTTATCTTTAATAACTGTTGTTCTTGCTTAATAAAATAACTCCTTAAGGTCACCTAATCCTAACCCTAAAGTAAGAATTAAAAAAAAACTACTGTATACAATCTGTGTCATTAATTTGACATTAATGATTAATTCGAACCTAAGCTTAAATATACATATATCTATATATGCATGAATGCATTTATCCATCCTTTAATCTGCCTATCATATATTACAAATCACATCATCATATTTTTCTGACATCGCTTCTGTATAACACTTTATTCTTTATATTTGTTAGTCAAAGCTAGTTGTTGGGGAGTTAATTTAACCCCACTGAAGTGTGAAATCGTGATTGTGTGGATTTGCTTCACTTACAGCAGTGCTTTAAAGACAAATCAAAAAGGAACCACATATACATAATGCCTTTCACAACCATGATATCCCTAAGTGCTTTGTAGCTAATGAGCAACTTAATTGAAGTTCAGTTGCTCATATAACTTGGAGAAAATAAAATAGTCACTGTTGCAACATCAGGTCCCCATAAACTGCTGTGAGATGTATCAATTTTTTTTTGAGGGAGTTGTTTGGTTAAATATTACTGCAACATCTGCGGAACATCTCTACTGTTCTTCAAATAATGTGGGGATCTTTTACATCTTTCTAAAGAGAGCAGTGGGCTTGGTAAATTTGCCATCAAAAATATAGCATCTTTCTCAATATTATGCTGAATGAGGTGTTTGGCTGAAATATTTGCACAACTTGTTGGATTGGAGCTTGAGTCCATTTGCTCCTGATTCAGAGAAGAGAGTGCCACCACTGAGCCATTACTCATTCATTTAGATTTTAGATCATTATTGTGTGGTTTTCTCAATTTGCAAGTAATTTTTCTGTGTTGTGCTGCTGATATGTGCTGATGGTGCAATATTGGAACAAAGTCTTAATTATGTGCACCTTTTACATTCCTGCGCTGTATTTGCTCATTGCCAAATAATATGTTACGTTAAATAATGTTTTGAAATAGTGTTTAAATTATGATCTATAAGGGCCAGTTTTGAAAATGTGCACTTCCATGAGTGCAGTCTCATTGGATGCATAATTTAAGACAAATCTCTTTTAGTGCACAATTTGATTGGTCCTTGTGATCACTTAATCAGCTTTTGTCATTGATCCTGGGAGCAACTTTCCATCAGTTGTTATTCTCCACTAATGTCTTTTCATTGTTCACAGCTAATACAGTGCCTATCATGTTACAGCTATCCTTCTGTAATGAACAACATCCACTCCTGTCCTAATTGCTTGCTCAGTCTTCTTGTTCCCATACTGAATGCCTTCACTACAGCTCTCTGTGCTACATCTTGACTCAGAGTCTCAGGTTGTACCTCAGGCCCCAAATACATTTACCCTGTCAGTATGCAACAGGTCCACATAGTGCTCTCCTTATTAAGCTAAGCCTCAACTCCAACAGATGTCTTTCTTTTTAACACAACATGCCCATTGAATCCAACAATAATCTGGCATGTAGCCTCATTTTCACCCCAGCTTTATCTTTCTCTGTGCCTAGTAGATCCATAGATGACCCATTCTGGCAAGTCAAACAACCAAGCCATACCCTGAATATTCTGGTTAAGATATCAATATATGAAGAGCAAACGTCCTGCCATAAAACAACTGTGACCTGGTTAAAATCTTGATTCACTCTGGTGTAACACTGCAAATGACACTGAATTTTAATATAAAATGTTACCAAATGTATTGGCTGTGGTGGTATGCTGTTCTCTGTGTTAGCATAAAAGTAAAATGAATCCCAAATTCTGAAGTGAATGTAGTCATGGATATTGTATTTGTGCACATTCAGGAAGAAAAACTAGATGAAATAAACATGCATTTGTGGTGTTTGTATGTATTTGTGGAAAATATTTTAAAATGATTGGATTTCAAAGACGAACAAATTTGACATTAATTTCAGTGTTAGCCTGTATTGTAGTACCTCAGTTTTTGCGGGAATTTGTTGTTGCAGTGATGAGAGTGCTTTGTATTTCTATTTGTACATTAAAGAATGTATTCCTGTGAAGTAGACCCTCAGAATTAATGTACACAAGGACTTTTTATGTTGCACTGTCCGCTTAAGTGGTCAAAAGTCATAGAATTTCAGCAGCAGTCAACAGCTTTCTGAGTTCAACACATGTCAACAGTGTAATCCGGATTTGTACTCCTATTACAGTGTTATGAGGTCAAATGGACTCTGGCTGTCTTCCTAAACCAGTAATTGAAGGCTGAAGCCACATTAGCCCGATCATGTCAACTTTGCTCAAGAGTGATTGATTCAATCTATCCCCCTGGGGCCTCTGCACATAAGCTGAACTCAGGCATGAATGGAGCTAGGCAGCATTGAGTTTCATTCATAAAATGGAGTGAAGGGAAAGACTAGAATTCCCAGTTAGACTGGGCAGGGTGTACAATTCTAGCAGCTGTTTCCTTCGCCAGATTACTTGATACAATCATCACTGCAACAGGCATGCCCAGCGTAAACTGATACCATTCTTCTGCCTTTGTGCACAATTAATATGTAGCAAATGAGGATGTCCCATTCACATTGTGCAGAGATAACAGGCGCTGACTGGTCTGAATTCCATTCAAATATTTCTTCTAGCCACACACCATTGTGAGTACCTTTTAAGTTTCTGATGCAAGCTACATAAAGGGAACAAGAGCAGCCCCACATGGTAATGCAGGGAATTCATTTACAAGGTCACAATGAAGTACTTAGCAATCTCTTTTTTGCAACAACCAAATTTCTGACATTTGCGTTTGCTTCCCTTCCCATACCAAGCTGGCCAGTACATATTTGTCAGAGGATTGAGAAAAAATAAACTGTCATATGTGGGCCAGAAAATTAAAAAATCTTTTCCTCGTTTCCTCTTCATTTGCATACGGTTGCAAAATGATTGCATGCCAATCCATAGCAGTTAATTGTTCAGTCAGTTTATATTTGACAAGCATTATCAGGGAACAACCTTGTCAAATAATTACCTCCTTAAAAAGAGATATTAGAACGATTTAGGTAGGAGGCCTAAAAGGCATGGTGGACAATTTGGATTTACCGTAGAAGGAGTTGTTTCACATAATATTAGGATTTTGGTTCTTACATCCCAGTGATCAGTTACTGATCCACATATAGAAAGAGATCAATTTAAGCTGCTGACTCATGGTAATGGGAAGAGACTTAACTGAATATGGATATTGTGGGAGTAGTGAACATGAGGTTTAAGACCTAACTAAAAAGGGAAACAGTAAAGATGATATAACAGTCAGCATTAGATTGCGGAGGCAGCAAAAGGAAAGATGATCGGATATAGGAACAAGGTAATTAGGACTGTTTGTACATGTGGATGGCAAATGCTGACACTAGTTGGGTGAATGGCTTTCTTTGCTTTCCAGACTTCTATATGTTTCTATGAAAATGAAATAGAACTAGAGGAAACAAAAATCAAAACAAAATTGTGGATGTTAGGTCTGAATTCAACTTCCAGAGATATTAATTTTGTCTGAATTACAATCGGAATGTTTCAAATGCCAAGTGCAATTCAAACAAAGACCAGAGAAAACTGTATCTATCACATTAGAATAACCTACTCTGATTAGCAACATGGACTAAAGTGGCTCCAAATCATATCATAATGTAAGGTTATATCTAACATTCACATTTACCCAGGCTTTTAATTCAGTGGCGCCCACCCTCAATTTGGAAATGTCCTATGTTTGTTAGGATCAGGCCTGAAGCCTAAAACTGTTCTACATTGTGACATCTAATGATGATATTAATGCTCATAAACAGGTTGAGTAAGCAAGTAGGAATTGCTTAGATGTTGTAAAAGGATAAAGCACTGGGGAACAACATCAACTAGATTCTTCCTCCTTATCCTAACAGTGATTTGGACGTCTTTCAAAATTTACATGTTACCATTCCAAAATGACCTTGTGAATCTATGAGGGAATATTTTTCAGGTAATTTGAGGAGCGATTGCAACAACAAAAAACAAAACAGTTGGCCATTCCTTCCCATTTGTGTTACAACAGGTTGAACTCCACTGGTGATATACTACAGATGATGGAATCCTGTTACTAATCTGTGGAATTCACTAGCCCTGAGCCTGATGCATGCTGGGACATTGAGTAAATTTAAGGTGGAGGCAGACCGATTTTTAATGAGTAACATGGCTGAATGGTTATGGAGAGTAGGCATGAGTGTGGGGTTGAGGTCAAGATGAGATCAGCCATGATTGTTTCAAATGGCAAAGTAAGCTCAAAGGGCTGAATTGCCTGCTCCTAGTTCTTATTGATGTCTTTGAACTCCAGAGACTGATTTCATTTTCTTAATCATGAACTATCAGTGTGTTTGCACTGTCTCCATAATAAAATTGTGCTGTTGCACAGGGAAGGCATTGAAAGATAAATGTTCTCTTTCTTTACTGTCAAGGGAAAACAAAAGCTATTTGCTGGCTAAAGAAAATGGGAGAGGTTTTACAAGTGCTCTGAATCAGCAAACTCATCAATAGATTGTTGAATTGAAATGAAGCCACTTTATCTAAGTGAAAATTGATATGTCATGGAGAACTTTTGGCTTTGGTGATGGTAAAAAATGGAGAGAATAGATTTCATTGGGAAAGGATACGTTGTA